TAAAAGTTTTTGTTTGCATAATATATGTGTGTGTTCTGTGTATATTTATTATGTATATGTAAATACACACACATACAGTATATATTTTGAAAATATTTATGTCTATATTTATATTCATATAATTTATATTATAAATAAATATATTTAATATATAAACATAACATATTTTTCTGAAATATATACATGCATGTGTGTGTATTTTTATATACATAATAAATATACACAGTACACACACATATATTATGCAAACAAAAACATTTATTTTGGATGCGATTAATCGTTTGACAGCTCTAAAAAAACCCTGAGACTTGTTATAGCACTTGCATATCATTGCTCTTTTGTTGATTCTGATTGCTTCTATTGTCCTCATTTGTAAGTCGCTTTGGATAAAAGCGTCTGCTAAATGACTAAATGTGAATGTAATTAGCTATACGAAAAAGTAACTGAATGGCATCATTCTGCCTGACATGTCCTTTTGTAAGTCATATGGATAAGAAACAAAATAAAGGTAAGTGATAAGATGTTTTATTTCTGGATAAACTATTTTATTCACAACATAATCTCTCTTAAATTACCTTATAGGGTTATGATAATCAAAACAGTCCTGAGCTAGATCAAGCTTTAATCTCTGCAAACCAAACTATCACTTTAATTAAATAATATTTTTCCCCCCACTAATAAAAATATTTTATCATTATCTAGCTCCACACTGGAGAGCTGCTTTATAACAGAAAGTCAAGTTGTAATTCTAACTGAAAGCGACACTGACTCTGGTTTTTCATGTTTAATGCTGTAAAGCTGCTTGATTTAAGGCTATCTATTGCATAAAGTACTAGCCTATATAAATAAATGTGACATGACTGGACTTACTGGAGTACTGAACAAGCACCCACATCGCTGTAATCAGATGCTTTCTGAACTGCTGCTTTCTCACCGCTGTCAGTTTTTGTTGTTTATTTCGTTATTGAGAGGAAAGCGCAGAGCATATATTTACAGATTCATCCAAACGCCGCTCAACAGCTTCAGGTTCGGCTGCGTTTGCTCTGAAGCAATGTGTCGTCTTCTCTTGGCTGAATTACAGTCTTGCGCTACAGCACCACACTGGTCAAACCGCATTATTGCAGGCTCTTACATGAGATCAAACGACTACTCGACAATAGGGATGTAACAATATCAAAATCTCATGATACGATAATATTGCGATATGAAGTCCACGATACAATATTTATTACGATATTTAAAAAGAAAAAAAGTATTTCAGTAGCACAAATTTTTGTACATTTTAAACTTAAATTATTCTATCTAATGCACTTTGAGAGTCAAAATTAAGAGCTCCAACCCAATTTTCTTAACTAAGAAAACTTAAGTCAGAAGAAAGTCTTCTAAAGACTTTAAAGGGGACTCAACCTTCTTTTTATTTGTGATCTACTGTCTAAGTCTAAACTACATTCACACTGGTGTTTGAGGAAGCCAAACACTTTAGAATATAATAATTAGAGCCCGACCGATAAATCGTTTAGCCGATATTATCGGCCGATATGAGCCTGTCTGAATATGCTGCCGATATGAAATTTTTTTTTACAGAACACATAATAAATGCTTGAAATGGTGTAATTACTTAGTTTGTCCAGCAGAGCATGCTCCATTGTTTGCTACTGGTGACCTGGATGAAATGCTTTAAAGCTTAAGTAAAACTTTGAACGGCCATATCTCCGTAAAGGCGCGGCGAATCCGCACCAAATTCGGGGGATCCCTTCAGCTCGAGGAACCCTCTCGAATGCGAATCGAGTGTACGTCTAGAGGCCCGCTTTCGAATTGAGACCACCCCCGTGTCGATAGCCCCCAGGGTTCGGGAGTTACGGGTGGTTAAATTCGTGGTCTGGCGCCGACGAATCTAGCGATCCGACGCGCGGAGGGTGGCGTTCGAGAGGGCTCCTCGAGCTGAAGGGATCCCCCGAATTTGGTGGAGATCCGCCGGCGCGTTCGCGAGATAGTGACACCAGTCAACACTTTCACTTCAGTAAGAGGTCTCTTGTTCAGGCAGCATTCACGCGTTGTCTTATTTGTCCGTAAGTGCCCTGCGAAGTGGACTTCACATGATATTCCACCATGATTCCAGTTCCAAGGGTACTCGTTACAATCAAAGGGCATTAAAGTGTGCGAGACGTGAATTTATATTTATTTACAGAGGTATATTATGTCACACTTCTCTAGTAAGTTCCGTCTGTGTGTGAAGACAGTAGCGCAAATCCGTGAATGAATGTTCCAAAGTGAAATACATCATTACGTATCTCTGTCACGTCATTATAAGTGTTTGATCACCACATTTGAGTGATCATTGCAAAAAATGTGTTTATGTATATATATTCTGTTTATGTATATACTGTATTCTATATATAGTACCAGTCAAAAGTTTGGACACGAATGGGAAAGTGTCCAAACTTTTGACTGGTACTGTACTATAATATACACAAAGAATATCGGCCGATATCTCAATAGCCTTTTTTTACTCCCTAATATCGGTATCGGCCCCAAAAAAACCCATATCGGTCGGGCTCTAATAATAATAATAACAACAACAACAATGACAACAGTAGCCATATATTGTAATACAATTGCACTGGAAAATAAATGAATATTTCATAGGTATATTATTTTTGCTTTACACTACAGCAGGGAAATTACAATACTTCTTTCCTAATTTCTACACTTGAAAGAGATATTTTGAATCTGGACTGCATTTAAACCGCTAGCTGTCTGCAGTTCTTACTGCACTTTAAAGCTTTTATTTTGAAGGAAAACTCCATTTTCAGTGAAAACAGGCTTACAAAAACAAAAACGCATCTCACTGCAAATCTAGTGAAACGCTGTAATCATCTGCCATGAAAATAAAGCATTTTTTTTTTCTAAAAAAGCATCTTTTAATGCTTCCGTGCAGGTTTTCTTCCTCCCATCACGCTGCCGGAGAAGTACTTCCTGTCTCAGCTGATGCTCGCTCCGCCGCGAGAGCTCTTCAAGAAGACGCCGAGACAAGTGTCCAGCATGGACATGAGCTCCACACCGCAGACCATAGACATCAGCGGACTGCAGCTGGCGCTCGCCGGTACAACACGCCACACACGCTGCGACACGCTTATCTACAGCTGCGCTTACACTGCCAGACTGCCTGTTTACAGTCACTTACACAACTGCTGTAACTTTTCTGAAAAGTCTCTTCTGCTCATCAGGGCTGCACTTATTTAATCAAAAATACAGTATAAAATTGTGAAATATTATTAGAATGTAAAACAGCTGTTTTCTATGTGAATATCTGTTAAACTGTAATGTATTTCTGTGATGTGCAGCTGTATTTTCAGCATCATTACTCCAGTCTTCAGTGTCACATGATCTTCAGAAATCATTCTAATATGCTGATTTTCAATGTTGAAAACAGTTGTGCTGCACCATATTTCTGTGGAAACTGTCATACATTATCATTCAAAAGTTAGTAAGTTAGATTAAAAAAAAGAGGCACTTATTAACACTTATTAATCAAGAACTCATTAAATTGATCAAATGTTATAGTAAAGACATTTATAATATTACAAACATCATATTATGCATATGATATTATACATCATGTTACATTTACATTTACATTTAGTCATTTAGCAGACGCTTTTATCCAAAGCGACTTACAATTGGGGGATACATAAAGCGATTCTTCTTAAAGAGGCAAACAGACACAGGAAGTGATTGTAATACCAAGTTCTTAGACATTGTTCAAATAAGTACAAGCTAGAAAGAGAAGGAATAAATAAAGAGAGAG